ACTCTAACAGTTAATTTATCAGACTTATTGCAACAAATTTAAAAAAGATTACTGGAAATGTAATGCTGACTTATTAAAATAATAAAAATATATTTCAGTAATTAAAGATTGATACATAAAATGAAAAATGACCAGACTATTGGTAACGTCAGTAAGCGATAGGAATACTTTAAATTCAATTTGGAGAATTTTCATTAATATTTAGTAAATTCAAATGCAAACAGCAAAGAGAATTTGGGGGTAGATCTATGCAAAACATGATTAGTTTATGAAGCTTAACTGAAATGACTGAATCTGAAAAAAATAATTTTATAACATTACAAAATCAATTACATGTTATATACATCCTCAAAGGAAAAGGAAATGGTGCTCACCTTAGATCTAGATCTATAAATAGAAGATACAAGGTAAAAAAAATATATTTTTTTCAATCTAGAAAAAAAAATATGCAGCAAAAGAAAAATATAAATTCATTAATTATAGACAAAAAGTAATGCACTGATCAGCCTAATTAGATAAGATCAGATAAAGGTATCTCAGAGGAAATATAATATTAATATTCGTCAGAGTACAGTTCTGTGAACTCAAACATTTTTCTAGAAGACATTAGAAAACATTTTCCAAAAATAGATTTCACCTTTAAAGAAAGTCTGATGTCAAATTAAAAGAGTTAGAGTCACAAAAAATAGCCACAAGGAAAGTGTTGATGAGAGAGTTTAACTACAATATTTCACAGATATCTGGGGGAAGAACAAAAACATTTCCTTTATGAATCAATGAATAACATTATTGACCAATTCATTAACATTTACGATCAAACAGGGACTCATTACTCTCATTCAAAAACCAGCAAAAAGATCAGAGATGCGTTCAATAGTTCAGCATCTCTGCCTTCTGGAACATCTAAAAGTTTAACATTAAAAGAGGAATACGCCAAGGCTCCTGCTTCACCTCTGTTGTTTATTATTGTGGCAGAACTTTTAGTAATCATTTAAAAACTAATTCAAGTTGAAGAGTAATTACTCAACTAACAGGTGACACAGGCATGTTTTTAGATCAAAAGTTTACTAAAACTGGCCAATATCTGAAGATAAAGAAATGTCAAATCATGATTATTCATGAAAATCCACTTAATCCACTTGTTTGTTATATTTCAATTAAGAAAGAGGTGAAATATTTAGGCATCAACATTTCCAAGGATAACGGATTAAGAGAAGTATCACATATAGAAAATAAAATTCAGAAAACTTCCATCATTTTCAACAGCTTGCTCAAGAGAGAGTAAGCTATATACTTTTTACATAATTTTATTCACTAAAATGGAAGTTTTCTCTGGGCTCCTTTACCCAGCGCACTCATTATATATATCTGATGAAGTGATTAAATTGATAAATCAAGGCAAGTAGAATTTTATATGGAGAAACATATGCCATTACATAAGATGATCTTATGTAGTGAAATTTTTAGAGGAAGAACATCTGAATATGATCTATTTTGATCCAATGAACAGAGCTATCAGAGTCTAAGGGCTACAGACTTCATTACAAAAGGATGCGTCTCTGATATGTTTTTGTTAGGTTGTTTTAAATTATTGGTGGGGTTGAATTCTTGATGACATATGACTTGTAAATCAGTAAACTACCAATTAAATAATAATATTTTCATAAACAGGTTGTGAAGTATTGGAAACTTGTTTTTAAAAAATAACTTTTCAAGATATGTTCTCCCTATTTGGAACAACAGATTCATCCTAATAAAACAATTTTTTTTTTTTTTTAAGAATTGATGGAAAAAGGCATTTGGTCTTTTCTACACCTTATGGAAGAAAGTCGACATGTTTTGACATATGATGCTTTGATCAAAAAATACACATTAACAGGCATAAAAACTACGTTTAACAAAGTCTTAACCTCTTAAAAACCTGGACCTTAAGTGGGGGTAATAATTCAGAATGCATAAAATTCCACCGGTAATATTTTACCAGCAGGTGAAGCCATTGTGCGCAGCTCCAAGCTTACACCAAAAGTTCAAAGCCCCACACCTCTAGAACTGTTATAGCTAGAGGTCTGACATGTTTTGCATTTGTGGTTGACATGATGTAGAAAAAATATATTACAATAAAACCTGCTTTTTCTCAAGAATGTCTTTATTACTGCTGTACAAAACAGAGCTGTTCAAAACAGAGCTAATAAAAAAACAACAACTTTGAGTCATCTTTGAACTGACGCAGGTTGGTCTGTGTTGTAGTCACCCAATTTTAATTTATATATTCAGAAACTAGAGAGTGTTAGCTTTCTAATGATCTATATAAACATGTAATATGGGCTTACTGTTCATAAGTTATTTGCTTTTCCATTTGGGTATGCATTATAGGCGAGGGTTACCCAAAATTTGGGGGATGTTAACTCCTTATTTCAACATCTTCATAAGTGAAATACTTTTATTCCAATACGTCTTAACAGTTGTAACAATCCAAAAGCCCAAGCAGTATTGCAGTATTTCGAAAATGTAATTTAAAGTTAGTATTTCAAAAATTTAACTTAACCCTAATCCTCTGTAATTATATGAAAGTTCTATTATAAAATCTAATTAAAATGCATTGTTTTATGTAGACCAGTCTCAAAATTTTCCAGAGGGTTCCAAGCTGAACCATGTGTTGGAGGCATGGAGGGGCCCATTAAGATTTCTATTCATGGGGCCCAAAATCCCTGGCTTCAGCCTGACTTTCTTCAGCCTGGAAAATATGCTCACTTTCTGCGATTGGTAAATTGTTATTACACTGAAATTATCTTGCAGCTCTGAATATGGTGTACAGCATTTATGATTTTTTTTTTAAACCACAACAATTACATGAAATAATGAACTATGAAATAATGACAAAGTAAAACTTGAATGTCCCAAGTTAAATGCTTGGGTTGGCCTCTTTGGAGCAAATTGACTTATTTCTACTATTTATGAATAAAACCTCTATGACCACCACTTGCTGTGCTCTCAGTGGGATGTGGGGCCCATACCATGATGCTGCAGATTACCTGATAAACAGAAAATGTGACGTAAATTAACTCATCAGGTGTCATGATGGGTTCACTGAAGGCGACCCAAGAATGCAGAACACCACTGACGGACACAAGGATAAAAGTTTAACAGTTTTATTGATGCACAAGCACACTTAGTATATGGGTTCAGGTTCGGGGCCTGGGTTCCGGTTCACTGGAGTCTGCGTGAGAGACAGTTCAGTTAGCGTAGCCAACAGAGGTTTGATTTCCAGCTGTTTACTGATTGTACCTTGAGGGTTCTTGAGGTTTGCTTTGGGAGAGTCACTGTTGGTTCTGGAGAAGAGTTCATCAGCAGAGTCCGTAAGCTGCTTCAGCGTCTCACGTCTAATTTGAACAGACCTTGGCTTTGGGAATCCCAGCTCTAGTCCACAGCTGCTTGGAGGTTCTCTGTGAATCTTCAGGTTTGGCTCAGAGGGTCGGCTCGGCAGGTTAGCTCTTTCAGAGCTTTCACAGAGGAGGCAC